TTTTTATTAAACTATCGTTATTACGGATTAATAGTCAATAATAATAATAATAATATATTATTAATTATATAATAATATAATATATATATAATAATTAATATTATACATAATTATATTATATAATTAATAATAATCGTATATAATAATAATATAATCATTATATAATATTAATTATTAATATTATGCCAAAAACTAGAAGAGGGGAGAGATCGTTTCTAGGGTTGAATAATTGTCAACCGATTAATTACGAATTTGCAAACTAATAACAGACACTATCGAACTATGAAAAAGTTCACTATAGCTGCAATAGTGAAAGGACGATTCCCGGCATCCGTTGAGAACGCACGCGGATACATCGCGACGTTTTGATGCCACTGGTACACCCAACTACCCACACACAGACACACACACGCATACACACCATGTGTACAAGCGACTTATAAGAGAGGTTATGTCGCGTTAGCCGCAAATTTACATAATCGATGACTAATAATGGCCGCAACGAATATTTTGCGTGCATGCGATCGTGATCCCGATGCATTCAAAATGCATTGAAAAATCGACGGCGTCTCTCATATTCTTTGGTTAGGCGAACGTAGTCAGTCAGTTGTTGCTCGCTTGGTTCGCGAAGTCGTGTGGTCGTTGGCCTGTCGCCCGGAGAGACTCGAAATGCAGTCGCGCGCGCGCTGGTCGGACAGAGAGAGAGAGAGAGAGAGAGAGAGAGAGAGAGAGACGAGGTGAACCGTTGAACCGGCCTGAACAACGAGAGGAAAGACGAAACGAGAAACGGAGATACGTTTCACGGGCTCCGGGGGACCGTGGATTGAAACGCGCCGTGCTTTTCGCTCGCATCTCGCGGACGCCAATCCATTATTCTCGGCGGCGCGTTCACTGGCGACCGCTTAAATCATTATCCAACACAGAGTTACGGGCCGCGCCACAAAGAGAACCGAGCGAGATATTTCGAACGACATGCCGCGCGAGTGTCCATAGCGCTCCCAAAGCGCGCACGGTCGCGCGCGCGCGCGCAAGTAAAAGCGGTAGGAAATTGCAATAATAAGTTTAGTGCTAATTCATGGAAAATAATATGCTCGCACGGAACATTATTTGCCACACGCGTAAAGGAATTCGAAAAATAGTGTTCCGCGTGTGTGTATATATTATACATTGTATAGTAGTATTATATTAATTATTATTATATTTTATAATATAATAATAATTATACACTATAATAATACTACACTAATATTATATAATAATACTAATATACTAGTATTATTAAATATATATTATTAAATACTAATACTAGTATTAGTGTTATTATACAATAATACTAATACTAATATTAGTATAGTAATGCTAGTACTAGTATTAGTGTGTGTTATATTATACAATAATACTAATACTAGTATTAAATTTTATGTTTCAGCTAGTAATTCGAGTGTTCCCGTGCAAACATTTCAGCAACGAAATTGTTCGCTATAGTAAGCTACCGAAAGAGCAAGTACATACAATAGCGCACAGCACGCGTTACGTATCGATAAAGAAGATTGTTACACGTGCGTCGCTGTATTTTATCAATATTCGCAGCTCGTTGCTTTGTTTGCGCGTGGTCGTCTTGATCTAGTTGCGGCTTCTAACACTATTGTTTGAAAATCGCCTGGCACAAAGAAGGCAACAATAATCGAACAGAGAGAAAATAGTTACGATAAGAACATGGCTTGAAATCAGACAAACAAAAGATACGCTCTTAATGGACAATTGCATTGTTTTTTCCAGCGGACAATAAATCATCGATTATGACAGAATTTACTATCGACGCACAATCACGTATTTATCAACAGAAATTTCTCGACGGTATATACGTATGTACTTGCGAAATATATAATAATATATTATATATAATATAAATATAATATAAAATATATATAATTTTTCATTTCGTTCGAATTTCATACTGTGACGTCACTTTCAAAATGGCGAAGGAACGTTGCCACGTCAAGATATTTATCCACATTACACTCGCCAATAATTTATGAGCGATATTTAATTACTTATTTTCCGAATACTCAATCATAAATTACGATTCTCAATAAAAATGCTCTTAGTATCGTTATCGTTATCAAAAAACAGCACGCGAAAGGTGAATCAGACGCGTCGAAACGTGCACACACAACTCCGCTAATCGAATTGCCTATTACTTCACGACACTAATATCTATATTTATACCGCTCGTGCGAAAGTTACAACAAACTAATTGTTGCTAAAAAAAGACCGAGAAAATAGATCAGCAGCAGAACACAGAGCGGCGAGAAAGTGATTCGTGCAGGTGTGCGTACTGCCGAAAATATGTCACGATCGAAAAAGATCGTTTTTTTTTTTAATCCACGGTTGAAAAGCACTGGCCTAGGCGAATCGTGCAGGGGTGCCCAAGGGTGGGGCCCTTCTTTGTGAGAGATCGGCTCCGCTCTGACCTCTCAACGGGTCGCCGGGCCCCGAGGTAGTAGGCGCCTCCGACTGTGAAAACGACCGGAGAAGCTCTTGCTTGTTGCCGATGGTCTGCTGCTTGTCTGTCTGGCTGGCCGGTTGCCTGGCCTCGTTGCCAAGCAACCGCAACAGCGCGTCACCCCCTCGATCCTTTAAAATTCCGTCACACTTTGAATAGCGTAAATGTTCTCAACCGCGCGATCAAACTTTGCTTAATAACACTTCGATGCGCAACGAGTTAAATGTCGCTAATTTATTGTAACGAATAATTCGTTATAGCATAACCTTAAAAAAATGTTCATCCTTCGCTCATCGAAGCGAGCAAGTTTTAACCTTACTTTCTCTCAGTTTGTCAACCAGAAATAGGCACCTTACGACGCGGAATACGGCATTGGTCGATTACAGAAATAACGATCGTAAAATTTTGTACATTATTATTGATATAATAATATTATTAGTAATATAATACTTAATATAATAATAATATTATTATTAATATAATAATTAATACATACAAATTTTATCCATTCTACAGGGTGTCCCAAAAATGTCTCGCGATACGGAAATGTGGGGTAGCTGAGGAAATTCTAAGATATTATACAATACTATATATATATATATATACATATAATGTATATACCATATACTATACTATATATATTCTGTATATTTCGGACTAAAAAAGCATCGATAAATAGATACTTAATGTTCAGAGAGAAAGTTTTCAGACTTTCAGCTCGTGGTCGACGAAAAATGAAAATAAATTCCTCCCAAATTCGTCGATTCATTTGCCAGCCGATAACCAACCAAGTAGCTAAAAATACGCGGCAAAAGGGCAACGGTTTTTGATCCCCCGGCGTAGTACACACGTATATTTAGAAAGCGCCGCTACTATAATTCACTAACGCCGCGCCGTTTCGATTAAAAGCCAGAGNCTTAAATTACGATTTTCTACTTGCGATTCTCGCGCGCTGGAATTCGCGAGAGAATCGAGGCTGATCGGGGGCCGCGCGGGTGATCGGCCCGCCGGAAAGTGGAAATTGAATTCCCCCCTCCCCCCTCCCGTCCCGATAGAAGTTTCTCGGATCGGCCAAGTTAATCGTCGGATCACGGTACGGCGAGCCTCGATCCCGGCGAAATTACGGCTTTGTCGTCGCTCGGGACGAGTCCGCCGCCGCTTAATTATTCGAACAGCCCGCGGAACGACGTCCTAGCCGGCCGCCGGTCCGCGAATCATTTTCAAAATGATACGCCGCGCCGCGGCGAAGGGTTCGTTACTTCCAATTGACCGACTGGCCCAATTTCTACCGATTTCTCTCGCGCCTCAGTCAAGGTACCGGAGACGCGGCTTGCACTTCACCTGCGCTTCCAACCGTTACCATCGCCGATCAATCGCGGAATTCGGTGCCCGGCTTCGTTTACACCTGTTGCTAGCAGCCGTCCGTCCGTCGTGTGTACAGGGTGTCCCAAAAATGTCTCGCGATACGGAAATGTGGGGTAGCTGAGGAAATTCTAAGATATTATACAATACTATATATATATATATATACATATAATGTATATACCATATACTATACTATATATATTCTGTATATTTCGGACTAAAAAAGCATCGATAAATAGATACTTAATGTTCAGAGAGAAAGTTTTCAGACTTTCAGCTCGTGGTCGACGAAAAATGAAAATAAATTCCTCCCAAATTCGTCGATTCATTTGCCAGCCGATAACCAACCAAGTAGCTAAAAATACGCGGCAAAAGGGCAACGGTTTTTGATCCCCCGGCGTAGTACACACGTATATTTAGAAAGCGCCGCTACTATAATTCACTAACGCCGCGCCGTTTCGATTAAAAGCCAGAGTTCACGATTTCAAATCCTGTGTGTGTTGGCATTTAACAGTTACAAAAACCCGTTCGACTTATATACATAGAGCACAGAGCGAGCGAGCGGAGCATATGTCTCTTTATTGCTTCGTTATTTTAAACTCGTTTCTTTTTTTTTGTTTCTTTCCCGCTGAACTCGATCGACGCGACTCGATTGTAACATAACCATGAACTTTTGTGCGTGCGTGGAGTCGTCGTCGCGTATCGAGAGCCATTCAAGCGTCGTCGAGAGTAGTACGTGCGTGTGTCGTGTGCTTCAGCAGCGTCACCACGTGTGCGTACGTACGTATGTATGTATTATACGAGAGCGCAGTTCGGTTTCGTGCGCGAGCGCCGTTGCGCTGTCGCAACGAAAATTTCGCAAGATCGATTTTCCGTCGATTCGCGATCGTGTTTTTGCACGCGTTCGAAATACTATAATAAATACTATAATATACTAAGTTATAGTAATACTATATAATATATAGTATTATATATTATAGAATATTATAGTATTATATCGTATTATAGTAATATGTATATATAGTAATACTATATATAGCGGCAAACGATCGGCGCATGCGCGACCGTTAAACGAAGCGAGAAAAAAAAAGGAAAAGAATGAAAAGCGACACACAATGCATACACTTACCCATGTGAGCGAGGTCGATGATCGGTATCTCGCACTTGCTCAGCAGTGTCTCGCAAGTTTGGGTTACGATCGGCGCGCTCGTGCAACAGCTCATCTTGCTCCCCCGGCTGGTTTTGCTCGTCTCGAAATGAAGATTTCCGTCGCGTCTTTTTCCCTCTTTAAAGCGCAGCCCGGCGCGCGGTTCTCTCTCGGTCGCTCTCTCGGCCCGCTCTCGCAATTTCGTATCTTGTCCCCGATCTTTCCCCGTTCCGTTCACTCGATTCTTTTTTTCGTCCGGGAGAAGCTTGTTGCGTCGCCGTTACCTCCTTCGTCCGATCGCCGCTGATATATATATATATCGGGTCGGAAAGTAACGTGGTGGCTCGGCGTTGCGACGCGCGTCAAACACTATTACATCCACGTGCGAATTCGCCCACCCGATACGAGGCGATCCCGGAACAATCTCACTGGAATATCCAAGAAAAAATCATACTACCACTTCGCACTTCGCTCCGTCGAGACTTTATTCCCTGCGAGTTAAGACAGCCTGCTGCTGCTGCTCCGTCGCGCGCGACACCGAGCGAGAAGGGCTTTCCACGCGGAAAAAAAACAAATGGTTACAAGCACACACAGTGTCACCCGGCGACCGACCCTAACGGTAGCCGTACGAGACGAGTTTATTGTGGGCCTGGTAATGCGGCTGGTAAACGTGTACGCGGCTGTGAACTGGTGGGCACATGCTATGCTGACGACGGAGTGGCGGAGGACCAACTATTCACAGGAGAAAAAAAAAAGGAATTCTAGCCGAGACCGTTGCGATCCGAACCGACGCGAGGTTATTTGCTGACTGAGAGGCCGGCGGCGGCTCGTGAACCGAGCGAACGCGCGCCTGCGAGGTCGACCGTGGCCGAGCCGGCACGAACTACGCCGAACGCGGCCGAGCCGGCGACGAACGCTCACGATGCCCGAACTCGCAGGTTCGCGCGCTCTCACGGCGCGAATGGAAATCAACTTTTTCCAGCGTCTGCTACTTTTATTAGAATGCATGGCTAATATTATTTACACTATAAAGTTATAATATATATATATATATATATATATATATATATCTCATAAAGCAACGCCGTCGGAATTCCAGAAAGGCGAGAACGAAGCATTATAAAATATATATATATGACAATCTAAACCGGAGGATTTAGGTTAAAGAATCTATAGCGTTTGTCTAGATATTATGCGAATTTCTTTCAAGCGTGTAACTTTGAAATATTATATATAACAATATATATTATATAATATATTATATATTATATATAATATTATATATTAACGATGCGACAACCGGCAGATTAGACAAGCGAACAGTGTATCTTGTGAAACCGGAAATTCGTATTAACGTGATCGACTTTCATCGATCATTCTCGGAAGTTTTATTTCTTTTCGTCGAAAATAACAAGATCGGTTCTTCGTGAACCGCCGAGTAATTTTATCTCGATTTAAAGAATTTCTCTCTGCGTTTCTACATTTTACAAAATTAAAAATTCTATCTGGTAAAAAAAAGACAAAAAATGGGAAAAATCCTACAGACTTCGCGTAAGGCTAAGGACTTTACAAACCTGCGTCTACGAGCAAAAGCGAAACGTAAACACTGCAGTGTAGCTGCCGCGGGATTTTCGAGTCCAGCCACTCGGTTCGCACGATGTCTCGTATCGTACTGTTCCAACCGTGGCCGATCTTGAATCGCTAACGCCAAGATTCGACGACCCCCCCACCATTCGCGGGCCCCCCTCGATCTCGCGGCTCACCTCTAATCATTGCAATTAGTATTTCGTCGCTATCGCGAGCGGAGCGTAGTCCGCGTCTGTCGTCGCCCCGATCCGGATATCGAATGTATCGTTTCGTTGTAATGGTAGTTTTCCATTGTAACTACACGCATATTTAATACCTTCGACCGTCGCATGTGTGCGCGTGCCAACGCACACACAGGTGATACGTGTTGATCCGCGGTTCCCGAGCCTGTTTAACTTGGACTTACGGAAGCTTTAGCAGATTCGCAGTTTGCCGACCTTTAATTTTGCCAAATGTCAATATAAACAATATATATATATATATAATATAATTTTGTCGAAGTTTAAAAAAATACTCGAACCTTTTCTCGCATTAAGTATGCGTATTTTTGTTCTAACGATGTATTCTTTTATACATTTTTTATTGTATAATAATATCTATATGTACTATTCAAGATTATTGTATAAATACATAATAATTTCTTAAAATTATCTTACTTGCGGGAAATTAGGGATTCCCGAGATCATTTGAAGCAACTTCTTCCTTTACAAAAATGTTCTCCGAGGCACCGTTAACGAGTTATTAACGAAAAACAGTGACCAATGAGTGGCGAGCTTGCGTCGCGCTGGGCGGCCGAGCCAACGAGCGCTAGCTCCGCCTACTAGGTCGACCGCCTCGCGTGGGCCAAGCTCGTCTCCGATTGGTCCGCGTTTTTCGTCAGTAACTCGCAAACGACGCGTCGGAGAGAATTTTCGTAAAGGAGAAAGTTACTTCAAATTACCTCGGGAACCTCTTGTTTTCCGGAATTGACATAATTTTGGGACGCTTTGTATATCTAGAGCGGACAATATAACATAGCACTTGTACAAAATAAAAAATAACAAATCTTCCAATAACTCAAGCGTCCCGGAGTTAATCTTTCTTTATTTCTACGTTTGTAAATTGTTCCATCGAAGCGTGTACTTGTCGAAACATTGACAATTTATTTACAGACGCTTGACAATTTACGAGTATACGTTCCAGTTGTTTAGACTGCAGTCTCGCAGAAGGACGGCGATTCCTTCGGACGATATTCTCGCACAAAATCACGATTGTTGAAACATTCTACACGCGATTATCCGTATTATTATTACAGCATCGGTATCGCACTTAGCAATTGTAATAACTAATCAACGAAACATCCGAAGGAAACAGCAATTTCTTCGGTGACATCGAACTCTACGCTGAAGTATCACCACGGCCGTCGGTCGAAGCGTCGAAACAGCGTTGCCCGATCGATTTCGCGCGGATTCCCGCGAACGCGCGGCCGTGGTAAACCTTCCTTTTCGCGATAACCGTGACAGGTTTGTACAGGGTACACCTGTTTTCGGTTGGTAATCCGGCGTCGTGCTCGCCAGCTGTTCCTCGTGGAAGCGGACACGACTGTTTCTCTCTCTCTCTCTCTCTCGCTCTCGCTTACGGCTGCCCGGCTGCATTCTTTTTTTAGCCGGCAATAAATTTCCGGTAAACGATCGCGGAACGTCTCATCCCCGATGCGGGATGATTTGCAACGATAGGAACCAGAGGATGGCGAACGAGGCCGGATCGCTCTGTTTGATTTTCTTTCGCGTCCCGGTGCCTCCTTATTCCTTCCCCGGCCCGGTCAAAATAAGTTTCTTGCGTATCGTGTGCTCCTCGTGGGTGCTCGGCCGGATCTTCGCCGCTCCAAGGATGATGCCGCGTGTCCGACCGGAGGAGGGTGGTTTGTTCACCGGCGAGGAGGATTCCGTCGCCGAGGAACTCGCCTCGGCTTCTTCTCGCGCCTTATTTTTAGCTTGGACGCGTCTCGTCGACGACGACGACGACGACGGCGTCGCCCGTTTTATCTTCCTCTTGCGACTTTTATCAGGCTTCTTCTTTGTTTCCAGCGGCGTCCGACGGTCCACGTTCGACGGGGATGTGCTCGTGTAACGTCCATCCGTTTCCGAACTGAATTCAGAATAGCGGTCGTCGATCAATCGCGCGTCGACCAGAGTGTTTTTTTTTTTTTTTCGTTTTTGTTTCGAGGGTGCGCGACGCCAGTCGCCGCAAAGAAAACCGCCGACGATCGGGGGAACTCGACGACCCGACGCCGATTATGCGCGACCTTTTTTTACGCTTGTAACGCGATTTTAATTGGAGCTGCCGCCACGATTTATGGGGCACCGTTCTGGTGGAGCGCCGCGTTCCAAATGGATTTGTTTGCGGGAACACGGCTCGGTTACCTTGTGCTGTCCAGCGATACGCTGCTCGAGTCGTTCGCGAAGGCCTCCGGGGGCTGATACAGGCGACACGTTCCGCACAACAGTCTGCGTATGATCTGTAACGACGGGAAATCATTTTTTACTATTTTTGTATATTTTTATACGATTTTATGAGTTATTTAGCTTTTTTGTAGATATATTTTATGTGTGTGTTTCTTCCTCTTTTATTTTGTTTGTTGGGAAATATTTTGTATCAATACAATGGAATTAAACCCCTAAATAAATTAATTATTCAATTAAATATATAATATAATATATATAATAATAATAATAAATATAATATAATATATAAATATAATTAAATATTAATTATTCAATTAAATATGATATAATATATAAATATAATTAAATGTTAATTATTTAATTATTCCATTAAATTAAATTGAAGTCACGAAAATATAATGGACCGAAATAGTTTTCTTGCTCTGAAATTTTTTTATGATAATTATATTGGCACTTATATTGGATTTTTTTGTTTGATGTGTATGATTCAAAGATCCTAGTAAAACAAATTTTTTTTTTTAGAAACAAAACAACT